GAGTTCAGTATGAGTAAAAACACAATTTTTCATTCCACATTTATTATAACATAAACTAATCCACTCCTTTATGTTAGGATTTCATTTTGGACTATTGGCCTTAAATTTCTGCAATGGTTTATGTGTCAGTATCAATGCTGGATAACGGCATCTGTGTTTAATTAAAAAAAGAAAAGAAAAGGGTCTTTTTGCCCCCCCAAAAAGCGTGTCTGTATCTAACTTCAAAGAGAAAAGACTTGGATTTAGACACAAACGCTCTTTTTTTTTCTAATGTCCACGCTGCAATACAAACAAATAAAATATAAAAGCAATAACCAAAACCAAATTCGATTTTATTTTGTCTTGAAGCTCTGCTTGTTTATGCAGGTGCACTGCAGCCGAGGTTATAAGAATGAGTCATAGCGCGGGAGTAGTCATTTCCATGATGCCAAAATACTACAGCACAGAGGAAGTTGTTGACATGCTCATGCACTGTGAGAGCAAGGATGGCTCCTCATCACCCGCCACAGAGCTGCTGGAGTCCACGTCCAAATCATCTGATTTCTCTTCTGAAAATGAGAGCAAAGGGGAGATGAATGAAGAAGCAGCAGGATGGACCTCAAAAAACAGGAGAATAATTTGGTCTCCCACAAATACGAAGACGCTCCACTATGTCCTAGCAGCCACAGGGTTTATCCCGGGACCTACTCACTATGCCGCCGCCTGAATAACTGACACAATCTCCAGCTTCGCGTTGTTCCTGACGGATGAAATCGTGCAGCATATTGTTGCCATGATCAATCTGATGGGAGATGCACAATCCAAGCCTGGCGAGATTTGGACGAGGAAATGTGGTGCCGCTCATTTTGACTGCTGTTAACGGTCAAAAAACGAATCCACCCTCAGCCTCTGGTATGAAAAATCAGGACGGAGCATTTTGGTAAATGGTAAATGGACTGATTCTTATATAGCGCTTTTCTACTCTCCCGGAGTACTCAAAGCGCTCTATACAACATGCCTCATTCACCCAATCACACCCATTCTCACAAGCACTTTATCTACACTTAGTGCTTTCTAACTACATTCACACACATTCATACTCCGATGGACGCATCGGAGAGCAAGTTGGGGTTCGTATCTTGCCCAAGGATACTTGACACGCAGACTGGAGGAGCCAGGGATCGAACCACCAACCTTCCGATCAGCAGGTGACCTGCTCTACCTCCTGAGCTACAGCCACCCCTATCGTCAGTTCATTTTTAAATGATACAATTGTAAATGTAAACATGTTATGTTCAGGTAGATCGTGTACATTTGGTCTAAAAATGTGGTTTTTTCCAACACATTTACTTCTTTGAAAGGTCTTCAACGAGAAATATCTCATGTGCCAAAAGGCTGTCATAGAAGATCTCTTTGCAGGCTGCACTGGCTTTCAGGGGACCACTGTAGAGCTCCCTCATCCTGTCCTGAGAGATAGGCAGAGCTCTAATTTTGTCATATTGTTCTTG